TATTATACGTGGTGCGGCCCCTTCTCAGTTGAAAGAGCTCTCCCGGCTGAGTTTGCTCTAGCCTTCTCGTTATATAGAGACGTCCTCCGCACCGCTTTTCCCTCCCGAAGACCAGACTTCGACTTCATCTGACCATTATTCTCAACCTCGCGTTACGATTTGGCGGCACCGGATTCTGTCAGTACCTCATTCAGTTCGCTTCTCAGGCAGCTGCTCACCTTCAGCAATTTAACCAAGACACCTTCCGGGGCAGTCCCGATCAGGAAATCTACTGCCGTCTTCGCCGCCCATCTTCTCTCTCCCGCAAGTTGTGTGGCGCTCCATCACTTCCCGCTTCCACCTGTATAGCCTCAGCCCAAAATGATTCAGCCCTTGTGCCGTCCTTCTGTTCTCTCCCGCTTGACCACAGCTCCCGTACCAGAACCTCTAAACCCGCAATCTCCACCCCAGCATGCCTTTGCCTTACGGTTCAGACAGGCGGGCAGGCCCATCACGCACCTCGGAGGCCGCACCATTTGCCATGACTTCAACGACTCCAGCTGTTCCTTGCCTCAATGCCACTATCTTCACTGCTGCTCCCTTTGCGGCGGCGGCCATTCCCGCCCTGCATGACCCCTCAACCCCACCAGCCTCCACCCCTGTCCACATTCTGGCACCAGAAGTTGCTTCATTTAAAAAAAAAAAAAAATAGGTGCTTCACCCCCTTGATGGCTCCCAGTCTGACCCCCTCCCACGTCACCACCAGCTCGCGGATTATCTACTCTGAGGTCAGTCTTCTTCGAACTCGGCGCCCCTTCGTCGGAAGAGAAAACGCGGGACCTTTAACATCCCCGGAGTTCCTTGGGATAACCCTCGACACTGAATGCTTCCAGGCTCCCCTGCCCATCGAAAAGCCCAATCGCATCACCCTTCTTCCCCAAAGCTTCCTCCTCGCTCGGACGGCTGCTCTCCCCGTTGGGATGCTTAAACTTATCCCTCACTTGCTTTCACCCGCTGCATCCAAACGGCCACTCCTCGACTCCGCCATGCTGCATAGCTCTCCCAGGGCCGAACCGCATCTCTGGCAACTTCCCGCCAACTGGAACGGCATCACCTTCTTCTACAACGATCGGCTGCCCCGCCCCGACGACGTCCTGCTTTTCACAGATGCCGCCCCTTCTGCCGGCTTTGGGGGTTATTACGGCCGAAGACATTCAGAGCCTTGGCGCCCCACGCAGAGGCAGCTCTGACCCCAGGTCCTCCATTTTCAGCCACGTCTTTCGAGATCTAAACCCCAGCATCGCAGAACTCATCAGCATCTCCCAAGAAGCGATTATAAAATAGCCTTGCAGCAAGCACATTGTTCTCCTATTGGACCGCTCGGAACACTTTCCATTCATCGCATCACAACTTCAACCTGCCCTTTCCGTCACTTGACATCACAACAGTTTCCAGCTTCATATCTCATGCCTTCCGGTTTCTGAGCATCAAAATTCCCTCCATAAAGATGTACTTCAGCGGCATCAATTTCTTCGCCGAACTGCTCCCAGGTCCACCATGCCCAACCATTACGTCAGCCCAGATATCACTACTCATCAACAGTCTCCAGCATCAGTCACCTGCCACGACCCTACACTGCTTACCCCTAACTTCAGATCTACAAAATTGCTGCATCTCTACCATCCAGGTGAAGCATAGCGATTACTTCCTGCGTGCACACTCGAGGCCACGTTCCTACTCGCTAGGGATGGGTATCGAAAACCGGTTCTTGTTGAGAACCGGTTCCCACTGTTTCAATTCCTTGGAATCGTTTGCCATTTTTGCAAACGATTCCCTTATCGATTCCAGTCGCCCCGAATGACGTCACCACGTTGCGGAGCGTCATTTACCTGGCAGGAAACACGGCGCCTAAGCGGCTCAAACGCTCAAAAGTTTGATTATACTTTATGAGAACCGATGACAACAGGGCAACTTGCAAAGTAGATATTTCATTTAAGGGAGGAAACACTACGAATATGCAAAAGCATTTGCTCACAAAACACGCGATGACACGCGTTTTTAATTCCGCTCCGGACTCGTGACTCTCAACCCAGCAGCAGCGCTAACGTTTGCACGTCCTCTCCCGTTAATGCGGCAGGTAAATAATCAACTAACAGTGCATATTATGTTAGCGCAATCTGCCTTATTACAAGACCTGCCATTACTGTACATGTAGGTGACCATGATGAGAGAGACAGACAGAGTCTGGCTGGCGCTCGCTGGCAGTTCTCGCTGCAGTCTACCGGTAGCGTCTCCTTTCAGGCCAGGATAGACGAATGTCACCGAGCAGTGTCTAAGTTTGTGGTCAAAGGCTTGAACCCATTTGCCACAGCAGATGCCCCGATTTTTGGTAAGTGAATGTGTTTAATTGTAGGCAGGGACATTACTGGATATTCTTGTGTAATTGCCACAGAACAATTTATGTTATACTTTGTTATTGCTACAGAAGAATGTTGCAGCTTTAAGGCAGGGATGACTCCTGGAGTTGCTTTCTCACTGCATATGCTTTATTTCACAATCAGATCGATTCGATAACAAAAACATACAGCAGCTCCTCTCCTACTCCTAGCCCTTCGCTGCGGTGGAAAAAAGAACGACTTCAATCCCCTTCAAGGAACATACGTACAAAATAGTTTTCCTGATACACCAATGGGGCGTTCAATGCCATCTTGTAAATATGAGTACTCTGGCAGAGTAACAGTTCAAATGAAAAATACACCAGAACAAACAAGCAAACAAAAAAAGAAGTGTGGGGTACCTTTGAACCAATGAACAAAGTATAACAATTTATACTTTTTAACATAACCCGACCCCGTCAATATGTGATATGTCTCACAAGAATATTTATTTTATTATTTTACATTTACAATTTTTTTTCCTGGGGACCCTGTGACACCCCATTGAAGAGTCGTAGGCTGGATCTCTCAAGATCTCACTGTTGGGTTTGTAAGGCCATGTTACTCCAAAATTTCTATCTTGTTCAAAGAGAAGATATAAAACAAAGTTCTGAGCTAATCGACCTTAGTGTTCTCCTTTTTAAAAAAAAAAAAAGAATCGATAAGAGAATCGATAAAGAATCGAATCGTTAAACAGAATCGAAAATGGAATCGGAATCGTTAAAATCTTATCAATACCCATCCCTACTACTCGCCTTCTTCGGCTTATGCTGTTCTGAATTCACCTCCTCATCCTCGAATCCGCTCGAATCCTCGAACTCCTCATCCGCTTCATTTTCATCCTCAAACGAAGCAAACCAATCAATCGGGCAGCACCACGCCTACATACTACTTAAAATAAACTCTTGTTTAAGACCCTTCACTAACCCTTTACCTCGACCTCAGAAAATCTCAGCACACCTTACCTTTGGATCCTCTGTTCATCACCGAATCTGGCCACGCCTCAATCAGGACATGGCTCCTCTCACACTTTCGCCAAGTGCCCTCGTCTTCCGGGATTCCTCCAAATCACATCCCTGGCCATCCCTTCCTCAAACCGCAGCACTAATCACACTCCCTCATCCCTCATTGCTCATCGTTACCAAGGGAGTGGTCCCTGCTAGTGAAGTGGAGATATCATCTGAATTTCAGGAGCGGGACTACTCCTCCTTCACGCCCCCTCTGGCCTCAGGCCATAAAAGCCCCCCTTCTCCAATACCCGCTGTTCTCATTTTCATGCCCCCCCCTTTTTCTTTCCTCTCTTCTCCTGTCCTCTCCTCTCTTCCTTTCCTCCCTTTATTTCTCGTTAGTACAGGGGGTTCTGCCCGGTCTGAGAGCCATCGCCAGTCATGCTCATCGTTACCAAGGGAGTGGACCCTGCTAGTGAAATACTCCCACATTGTTAGCGCCTCAGCCAATTCTTTCTGAACAATTTGTCCTTCAGGTAACCTGTAGGGCTGTGAGTGCACTGTCACACCAGGACACATTTCAAAATGGAGCTCTATCAGAGAGGTACGGCTGGGCATGGGGAGAACATCTGCAAAATGCTGTTGCAACGCAGCAACATTCACTTGCTCAGCCTGAGTGTGATCATAATGGAGGGAAGGAGGAACTGGGCACCTCTGGCCAAACTCATCTCTCTCCCTCATCAGAGAAGTGGGTTTGGCCTCTCTCCATGTTTTGAGAAGGTTAACCCTCTCGAGGCAGGTGTTGCCGATTTGCAACAGTTAAAAACTAACAACCTGATTACCTCACATACATATTTTATGAGTTTTTTTTACTCAGAAGTACCAGTGCAGGACTTGGTTGTGCATTAGCAACAAAAAGTTTAATTTGAGCCTGAGAGTGTTAAGGTGATATACCTGTGTGGCTCCTCTCCTGTCTGACCGCGCCACTGCATAGTCAACACCTGTTACCCATTTACTGTGTGACCATGAAGGCTCCTTGCAACCTGCTGAGCAACTTTGAGATGAAAGAAGGGAGTAATGCAAGCACTTTGTCTCCCTCTAGCCGCTCTGCTGTACAGGCACTCCTGAAGTTCCTGAGCCTGGAGACAATTTTCTCGTGATAACCTTCCCAGTGCGTGTCTTTGCTCTCAGGTCCAGAACATACTGAATGTCCTTCTTAGCTGGGCTTGGACCTTCCTCCCAGTTTTCCTTAATCAAGCTTCTTGCCGAACAGCAGCTCAAAGAAAGAAAATCCCATGGAGGCCTGGGGCACCTCCCGCACTGCAAGCAACAAAGGTTCTAACCCGTGATCCTGATTGCTTTCATCCCCGTGAATAAACCTATGAATCATGGGCTTCAAAGTCTTATTCCGTCGCTCCACCAGCCAGTCCAGGATTCTGGGGGAAAATCCAGAATTTTAATAAGACTTTAAATTTTCCAAGATGGTTATGTTTGTTTGTCATGTTTGCATGTGTATGTATGTGTGTAGCGTTCTGTCTGAAAATACAATAGCTAAAAAAAGTGTTGAGCACATTTTGATAAAACTTTGTAGGGTCTAGAGTGGGGTCATGTTAAAGTTTGGGCTACATCCATCCAGGTCTTCAAGGTCAACTTAATGATTTATTGGTTGAAAATTGACAAAAAACCTCAGAACTTAGAAAGCACAATGTGAAAGAGTGCATTGTCAAAAACTACCATATTTCAAATATTATGTCATATTTGACTTGTGACCTCTCCTTCAAGGTCAACAGAGTAATAACCATCAAGTGAACCACACATTTAAACTCATTATACAATAAAATGAATGGTGCATGTTTCATATCCACATAAATACAAAATAATTATACTCAAAGTTCTGTCATTTATGTTAACATAGATTTTAACAAGGCAAACAAAAGCCTGCACTTTGCACTTCTTTTTACTGCACTATAAACTAAAGTTTAAAAAGAACAAAGAAAACAAATGGATACATACAAAATAAAATAATATTCCTTTAAAATTAAATATCGTCCAAAGAGTGAGCTGCTTCGGTGGAGGTTCGAGTGCAATTTCAGCCCACTGGAAGACAGATTCATTCGTCAACTAAAATATTAACATTCAACATATACAGACTGGTATTCAGCCATCATAATGATCAAAACTATAAGTGCAATAAACCAGTTTTAAATGAAATAATGTGGACTGTGAATGAAAATATCGTCTATGGTTAAGTTTTAATAAAGTAAAAAAGCAGGCACTGAGACAGAATCAGATAAAAATGGATGTGAACAGATCACTAAACAGACCAATAGAAATAGAGCCGCTCTCCTAGGAGCTGGCACAGGGAAGCAGCTTGGTGCTTCACATTCCTGCCCAGCCATTCTTACCCACTACCATGTCACTCTGTAAAACGGTAAGGCAGCTGTTGGCTTCCATCAACTCAAAGTGCATCTCTGAACTTATCCAGCCCAACACCTGCCCATCCTCTCACACTCTCATACACAAACTGCTGAAGCACACACATATGTGATCAAATCTGTGCACAAGCTAGATCACAACAGTCTTATGAGAACTTACATGTGAGAGAAAAGGTGAGTTGTGCTTGCTGAACTGAAGTAAAAATCACTCCATGCGATGCAGAGTGGGCATCAGTGCAAAGTTATCTTCTAGACAATGTATGCTTGGTGCAAAGTAAATGACGGCTAACTAACTGAACAGAAGAGCAACATAACGACTGAATGTCCGTGCTATTGTTCACTGATCATATACAAAACAAATTCTTTACATCTCAGCTGGATAAGGCACAAACTTTTTATTGCAGCATTTCAAAACGTGAAAATTTACTCAGCAGTCGGACTGACTGCTAAACAGGCACATACTCCAGGTTTTTATGGGCAGTCTAGATGCTAGGCCCGACACTCAAATCCACTCTGCTCCCATTGGCTCATCTCGCTGAGGGTAAAGGCCTGGTTTCCAACTAGCTACTCCCAGCTTCAGCTTTCACTGCACTCTGAAGTCACACGTCATCAACAGTCCAATCAGGCTGGACTTGGGCACCAAAGACTTTCACACAGTCCAGGGGTGGTGATGGTTTCATCTTTCTCCCTTGCCACCCCCCTCATTCCTCCATGTGTTTTTATCCTCTCCTCCACCCGGCTATTTTCAGGCCTCCGTTTTGTCTGTGTCTGCTGTTCTGTCTGCTGTCGTTTTTTAAAAAGGCCCCTCTGACTAGTCTGGATGGATCCACTGCAAGGTCACAAAAGTAGCTGTTAGAGTAAAGTCATTCAGGAGTCCGGTCACTGCTGCAGAGAACAAGTTATCAAGTTTTATATGCAATGGATGTGAACAGATCAACAAACACACTCACTCTCCAAGGACCATAAAGAGTGTAAAGTCACTCCTTTTTAAAAATGACATTTACCTTAAAAACACACACACACACACACACACACACACACACACACACGGAAATACAGTATATTAGGTTAAAAAACAGGAAAAAATTCTAACAAGCTTAAAGTGACTTTTACTCAATACAGACTGAACTCTCTGAAGCACCTTTTGTTCCAGTCTCTGTCAGTGGGATTCACAGTTTTATAATGTTGAGGTCCAGACTGTGGGGAGGCTGGATGATGTCACAGTACTTCTCTTTGCTCATAATTCCATTAATACTGACGAGATCAATGACATCAGTGACTTCAGCCCCAAACTGTGGCAGAGCATCCACGGTGTTTTACAGATGGCTGTCAACATCCACCCCGGGGCCTTTATCTTACCCCCTCCTACAGATTGATGATACTTTGAACCAACAATTTAAAATGTTTCATTCTGAATCGAATTTTTAGTTTTATAAATGTGAAACTGTTTTATATTTGGCATTTTACCAAATTTTTTCATAAATTCAACTAAAAAATTAGAAGCAAATCATGTTTTTTTTCCCTCCAACATGCTGCTGGTAGCAAAGATACATTTTAAAACTGGTTCTTTGCTAAACTGTCTTATGTGTAGACACAGCACTGGTTTATACATATGTGCCTTCCTGGGTATCTCTGGACCACTTCCAGTACAACTGCTATTTTAGATGGCTCAGAGTTCCACTGAGACCACTTTTATGTGATCTCAAATTTGTGGAAGAAGCAAATCTTCTAATAAACTGAGCATTATCACAGGAGATTCATTCACTGCAAACAAGCTCTTGCATGCTGTTGTGTGCACATCCATGAGACCAACACAGCCTTTGCTGCCCCATCGTACTCCATTCATGTTCATCCCCGTCCCCAAACAAAGTTCAAGTTAAAGTGTTGTCATCATTGTGACACACTGAATAATATACTGTTCACATCACAGTTTCATAAGCAGACAGAAAGTGGAGTGCTCTTAAAATAGCAGCAGAACTTGATGGTTAAGGTAAATCCATCATACAATAGACTCAAATGTACTTATTTTGCTTCCTGGAGCATCGACCTGCTACCAGCAAAGCTTTGTGATGTTTGTAGTTTTTATGTCTGTCCGGCTGGCGAGACAGAAGACTTCCTTCAACTGAATGCTATAATGTGTACTTGAATTAAGGTTTCCAATTTAAGCCACAAAAGAAAAGAAACCTGTGTATAAATCAGAGGGATCCCATGTGTGCTTTACAGAATGATTCTCACAACTTTCATGTGAACAATTAATTATTTCTACCAACACCTATTAGTTTATTAAAAGCACATAACAAAGCAACACCTGGTAAAGTCTCCTTTCTTTATGAACCATTTGAAAACTACAGTTTGTTTACAAACAGTTCATGAAATTAATAATATCCAAAGCTGCCCTCACAATTCTGAATACTCTAGCTGATACTAATATAGTTTGCTCCTGTGTGTCAGAAATACAGGACTGTCAGGACGTTTTACCCCACATCTTAAATTTCTCAAAGATCCTTAGCCTAAACCCCAAAAGGTTGATTCTGTTCATCTGGATGTAGCGGAATCACATAATTACGCTACATCCAGATGGATTTACTTACCTGGACGACTGATCGAGACCTTCTTGGCCTAAAGTTTATAGGTCATGATTGTGGGCCAAGAAGCAAGCAAAGCAGCGTAAACAGGACTGTGTCTGAACATGACAACAGCTTTGGTCATCTGTAACTGTTAGACCAACTCTAGAACTCATTGTTTTAAAGGAACGCCACCCAGTGGGACAGTGTTCTGTTTTATGTTCTGTAAAAACGGGAGAAAAGGGCTACATCACTGTTAGTAGCTGTTTACCGTCCTTTTGTAGGACAATAGTAGTAGTAACAATTTTTAAAAAAAAGACCAGTGTTGCCCTTTAAACAACCAACTAAGCTTCACTTTCCCTCAGTCTACTTAGGCACTCAGTTCCAGTTATTCACTTGGCTTTCCACAGCATCACAGTAACACTTGATGTGCAATACACTGAAACCTGAAAAAATACAATGATTAGAAAAAAATTACTGAATTATTAATTTCTCTCTTCCTCGTAGCCCTTTCACCATAGGATGAGGCAAGGATGGAGTCTCCATGGATACTCCATCGTGTCCTGTGCATCCGTCAGTGTCAAACATATATTCAAACCAGGCCCAGGGGTCAGTTTTGCTAATTGGAGCACAAACGTTCCAGGCTAACTGAAAACAGAAGAATTACCACAGCAGAACTGTAGAACCGTAACATTGTGAAGGTGCAATGCAGGGATAGAACAAAAATCTGTTAACAGTCATGTCAGTGGAGTGAATACAGTTTTGAATGTAATCAGCCGCCATGTTTGACTCGGACTGATGAGCCTTTAATCCAAAAATGTGTAAAATGCAATGCAATAATTTGCAAATATTATAAAGCCATATTTTATTCACAACAGAAAATATCATGTTTACACCAACAAATTAAAAATGTGCAAGAACGTCAGACGTCATATAGCTGGAACCACATATTAAACACTTTTAGCATTGATGATGGCGTTGCCAATTCCATAAGCACTAATGCATCCCATAGCATCAGATATGCAGACTTTTGAACTGAGCAGAGGTAACAAAGCAAGATGGTCCTACTTTAGATCGTTTGTGGAAAACATGTCTGGACTAAAGAGGGACTCATGTTCCAAAAACAAGGACCACAGTAACTCAAAGCCCCCCCACCACACTCGGATCTAATTCTGGGAGCAGTTTAAAGATGTGCACCTGATGACCTGAGAGGTCTGACACTGTAGTGGAGAGGGGACAAAGCAGGGAAACGCATTGGGACCTGTATAAAGCAATAGAAGAATTTTAAAGATAACTCCTTTTTGATTACTTGTAAAATGATAATAATTAGTATGTATTAGTAAAATGTTCCTCTTTTTAGTACCACTTACAGTTTCCAGTCTTTTATTGCCACCATCTTAACTTCTTTATAAAGTAATATTTTCTTAAAGGGGTACATTGTCTTATTGTAAACATTTGCTACTCTTTCTGTTTTCTGTTGTGAATAAATTATAGCTTTGCAGATCACTGCACTTCTGTTTTTATATACAGTTTGTATTGGGGTTGTATTCTAAATGACTGATCTTTCCTGAGTGCACGATAAACACAACAGCAAACCAGTTTCAGTTGTGAAATACTCATACAGCTGCAAATTCTTACCCGAGCCCAGATTTGGTCAGGTGAGGAAATGGACAAAAATGATTGCTAGACCTACATTCAACAGCATCACAAGAACCACCAAGATAGAGTTAGGGCCCTGTGGAGACACACAAGAAAGCTCTTTAAGTCATTTCATTTATTTTGCAACATTATGATTACTGACGCTATCAAAATCAACAAGACAAGCAGTGGGCCCCACTGACAGCATGCAGTATGTAGTGGAAACTATTAAAGATATCCTCTTGAATTCAGTTCAGTCAGATCAGAATACTTTATTAATCCCTCAGGAAATTGTGTGGATTACAGTTGCCCAAAGACAGTAACAGTAACAGACTAAACTATTTAAATAATACAATATGTTACAGAGTTTACCAATTTAAGAGCTGGCACAAATCGCTCAACTATAAGTATGAAGAGTATTACAGAGGTGAAATATATATGATTGACATTTAATTCTAACCTGTGAACTTTTTACTGTAGAGCGTGTGCAACAGTGTGGAACTATTGCAGTGTGTACAGCGTATTAGATGGAGGAGTTGTACAGGGAGATGGCCACAGAAAATAGTAGTTGTCCAAGACAGCTGTCTAGTTCAGAGTTCCCACTTTCTTCTTCTGCAGAAGGTCTTTGGTAACATTTGTTTGTCATCTTCTTATAATCCTTTTGTTGCTTCACCTTTTGCTCTTGTAGAGACTCATATCACCCTGTGTGTGTGTGTGTGTGTGTGTGTCGTTCTTTTCTTTTTTGCTCGTTTGCATACAACCTTTATTATACCATTTATGAATTTTGTTAATAAATCTGAACTGCAAATTTTTATTTAAATTTTGCAAGACAAATACTTGTCAAACAGGCCACCACCTACTGAAGCCTACAGAACCACATCATCTGCAAAAAGCAGAGGTGAGATTCTGAAGCTACCAAACTGGAAGCCTTCAGGCACGAGGCTATGCCTAAAATTTCTGTTCATAAAAATAATGAGCAGGATTGGTGACTGAGTCCAACACTGACTGCTGGCAGTGTACAACTGTAGCTCTTGCAACAGTCCTCAATCTGAGATTTGATTAATGGATAAAGTTTCCTTTCCAGTACCCTGGTACAGTCTATCTTCCCAGCGAAGCTGAGTAGTGTGATCCCCCTATAACCTTCCAGAAACTCTTCTTAAAGATGGGAACCACCACCCCAGTCTACCAATCCAGAAGCACCTTGCCAGATCTTCAAGACAGACTTAGAACAACAAGAGCCTTAAGGAAGTCAGAGCAACTCATCCACCCCAGAGGCCCTGCTGCTACCAAGTAGTTGTTTAACTACTTTGTTGATCTTGCCCCTGGTGACAGGCAAATCGTGCCCCTCATCCACACACTCTGCGTCCTCTACAGAAGCAGGTCCTCAAAGTATTCTTCCTGCTGTCCGACTATATCCACAGTTGAAGTCAGCAGCACCCCACCCCCACTAAACCCTGTGTGAGAGAGCACTGCTCCTAAACGGTCTGAAGGCCACATCCGGCCTGCGATATAATTTCATATGTCAATATTAATGGCCTGTCGGTATGTGGCAGCTGAATCTTCAACCCTGCTGAGCATCCATGTAGGAAGGACTTTATTTTGATGGGCACACCATGCAGCAAATCACAAGGCTGACTGTAATCATACTGTTATGTGAAAGAAGGGAGGGGGTTAGACGCTTTCAAGACAGCTAGTGTAGTGATACAGGCTAGCTACAGAAAGAGACGAGCGGGAATTAAATGCAATCGCGTAGGGAAAAAGTGAAGAAACAAGCAGAAATGATATTAGAGACTGCAAAGCTGGGTGCCGAATCCATAAAATTAGGAGCTGCCTAAAGTGATACCCATATTTATTTGCAACCATTTTCCAGGTTTCATCATCATCCAGGCCTTAAACCTCATGTGTGTTCTCCCCAGTAGGAGTAAATTCATTAAAAAATGAAAACACTGAATAAAAAAACGCTTCCTTGAAAAAGTCCAAATTTACAGTTCATTACTGAATATTACACAAAATATACAAAAAGTATGCAGAAATGTACCAGAGAACCACGGCTCAGTGTCCGAGTGTCTAAATGAGTCTCACAGGCCTGGATGTGTGTTTGAAACCATTTATAATTGTTAACTTGTTTGATCTGCTGCTCACCGCAAACAAGTACAACCAGTAACTTTGGACTTTTAACTGGATTTTCACAAGTTTTACAGCATTTCCTTGCAACTTCATGCATGTCTTCCTCCTGTAAAAACAGCCGAATTTCTTCTCTGAGCTCAAAGATTCATTATTATCAGGATGTCCTAAAAACTCCCTGAAAAGCCTTCAGTTAATCCAAAATGCTGCAGCAAGAGTCCTGACAGGGACTAGAAAGAGAGAGCAGATTTCTCCTGTTTTGGCTTCCTGTTAAATCCAGACTCTAATTTAAATCCATCTCATCGCACACAACATCTGGAATAATCAGATCCCACTGAAGGCTGACATGTGGGCCTCACTGCTAAACATGTCTGTCTGTGTGTGTGTGCTAGGGAATGTAAATGTATAGCATTGTTATATCATTAATATCAAAATATGGCACTTTTATATGAGGTAAAAATGTATTGTGGTATTACCGTGGGCACCATGATATGGCAACAGCCCTAATTCTGGACATATATCCATATTCAGATTATAGTTATTGTAACATTGGTGGGAAATTCTAGAAAGTATAAGTCATGTCAGTACAATCTGAACACGCACACTCACTGTGCGTTCGATTCTCCCTGATTGTTAGAATACTATATTATAAAAATATGTGTGGCAACTCAACTCACCGATTTGTCCTCTACAATTTCAGGATCCATTTCCATACTGGCTTTCTTGGTTTCTGCAAGGCTCCTTGATTTGCTTGATTCCTTTTTTTGCAGTTCCTTGGGAGGCTCTTGTGCTTTGGTGCCATCTTTTGCTGGAACTTGTGAAGGGATAGGGGCTGGCAGGGGTTTTGGTGCTGGTGGTTGAATTTGTTTGACAGGTGATGGCAGCAAGTGTACAAGGTCAGATGGGTGAAGATCATCCACTACACCAATTGGTTCTTCAGGGGGTTGAATCTTAAGAGTTGCTTTAACATGGTAACCATGGAACTGGGAGTGAATCTGTCCATTGCTTGAGTAACTGCTGACTGTAGTGGCAGCAGACTGTTTGACTGCTGGAGAAGCCTCTTGTTGCCTTACTTGCTGTCTCAGAGAAAGTTTTGACGCTGCTTTTGTTATGCCTGTACAATGAAAAAAAAGACAGGAGTAATGGAGACCACAGTTAACCAAATGACTAATGCGTATACAATATACTGGTTCAGGAGGTAGAATTTCAAGTTTTCAGTCAAGCTTCACATCTCAGTTCAGCTTCACAGTATCTGCGGGATGCTGTTAATTTTCAGCAAGACAATAAGCAAAAAGACCCTCCAGCTTCCTAATTGGCAAACCATGAGTCTCTATAACCTAATCCAACCTAAACCCGCCAAACACAGATGGTTCAGGATGAGATGAACTACAGAGTCAAAGAAAAAATAACAGCTTTCAGGAGAACTTCCTCCAGACTGTTGGGAAACCTCCTGTTGCAGTAAATATGTAGAAATTAGCTGTATTACTATTACAGCTAATATCTGATAGACAAACATGCAATAAAGTTGCTTACCTGCTGTCAAAGCCTCCGCTGCTGCATCAGAGGCAAGAGTTTTACTGCTGTAAAAAGCCTTTTTAGCAGCAGTAGGTGAAGGACTAGGGCTGGGACCTGGGCTTGCAGATGGAGACTGGGTTGGTGTTGTGCCTTTCCTGTAGAAATGTGGGCTCCCTGAAAGAGATTTCTCTTTTGTCTCCTCTCTGGGCTTCTCAGTTACATCTTGCGAGTCACTGTACTTCTGCAGTGTGTAGTCGGGTCCTAGAAAAACACACACACACACACACACACACACACACACACACACACACACACACACTTTTTGTTCTCTACACTTAGTTTGACAGACAGATCAAAGTCAGATCGGACTAACCCTTCCTTAAAAAAAAACCCTAAAAAAAACAAAAAATAATTACAGTTGGAACAGTTACAAATTTGGACACCATGTATCAACACCACTGTGGTGGAGGTGTGGTCTGTAACTCCGCTGCAGAAGAGGGGTGGCACAGTGGGCTCAGAGCACAGTGCCAGAGAGGCTGGCAGTGCAGCTGGGGCCAGTCTGCTAATCAGGCTCTTCCTTTTTACTGACGCAGGGACCTGGCAGAGGGTTGTTGTTGCCAAGCTGAGACATGTCAGCTGCAAAGCTGCCACAACAAAACTCAAAGAAGTCTTTAAATAAATGGTCACTTACCTGAAAATGCTGTTTACTGGGTCTGTCTATCACAGTTGTCCCGAAAA